CTGTAGTGCTCTTGGTGGTGTCCTTTGAAACGTGTAATTATTGGTACAAGCGTTTTAGAGGTGGTGATTTCAATCCTAGTGACCAGCCACGCCACGGACAGCCTCGATGGTTTGAAGATGCGGAATCGCAAGCTCTACTAGATGAAGACTCAACACAAACACAACAAGAGCCAGCAGCTCAGTTGGAAGTCACTCAAGCAGCTACTTCCAAGAATTTGCACCAAATGGGAAAATTAAAAAAAAACTTGACAGTTGGGTTCTCTCAACGTATGAACACATGCCTTTCGCTGCTTGCCCATGGACAACAAAAGGGCTTCTTGACGACGAAATGTGCATCATCTGTAACAAGAATCCCACAATGTAAAAAAGTCGTGGATAGATCGCAGGACACCCAATGCATCAACGCCGAAGCAGAAAATCCACTTAAAGAAGGTTCCCCTGTGTACCTGGTGGTACATGAAACGTGTACCAGGTTACGAACTCCTCAAAATTGGTTGTCAGGTGGTGAATGCGAAACGCTACAGTCGACAATTAAACAAACTCAGCGAAGAGCTTGATAAAAAGGTCATTTACTGGGAGAGGAAGCAGGCAAGTCATACCGCTGCTGCATGACCATCTCACGTTGCTCACACCACTTGGAAGATCTTCTTGAACTTGGGATAGAAAGTTCGCCCACACGAAGCATATTCACCAGACTTAACCCCATCGCACTACCATCTGCTCCGGTTTAGCCAGCATTCATTAGCGGATATACAGTTCAATACGCTGGGCGACGCGCGTAAGTCCGTCGATGACTTGGCTGCAAATTTCTTTCGCGACGGCATTTGTGCGTTAGCTCAGAAATGGCACAAGGTCATAGAAGACGATTAACAATATTTCCAAGGTTAATTTCTTTGTCTTTATATTAAATAACTTTGCAGAAAAATTTGTAAGAATCAATTTGAAACGCACTGCATTGCAGTGCCTTCCTTGGCGTGCAAACGAGACAATGCAATAGTGTGATTCCCACGGATGTCTAACTCGTAAATCATGGACAATCGTGTGACAAACGGGACGCACGTCGCTTGATGGTCGACCTAGGAGTTCATACGTTGGACGAACCATAGCTAGTCGTTCTAAAACAAACCATCGCATGACTGACGTCCCAACTTCTAAGAACTTGGACACGACCAGTCGAGGTGTGAATGAGACTTGAGCAAAGCAGACGCAGCTCGCATGGAGTCCGCATAGAGACAAATCGCAGCCATTTGCCGCCCCATCTTCAGACACCTTGACCGCCTTTCCTCCACGTCTCTATCGCTCTCGCACACGCACAACTGTCAATCTCATTCAGATGCTTGTACATTTACTAGTACACCCGATTGCAATTGGCCGACAGCCTCCATCAGTCAGTTTCAGTCCTGTGAACGTCTGCGACGCACAAGTATACAAGACGTAACACGCTGCTACAGATCGGTAAGGCAGGTATTCGGCTACAGTCGCTACTAAAATAGTCATTTCCAAGGTGGGATTCACTTTTGCAGTGTGAGAGAGAATGTTGTGGTTGTGTGTTTATAATCTACCACCGAATGACCGCACAAGTATGCAGACGTGGCTAGCCAAGGCTTCCTAAGTCGTAGTGAAGACAAAGGCATCCAGGAAAGAATCACGACCACAGTGGAGGCTGGCGAATTTCTTCAGTGCTAAAGGTCTCCAGCGAAATCAACCCAACACAGGATAATTGCCTTGATTGATGGCCAATACAACCACGTAGATGGCCCAACCCAACGCACGCAGATGTGCCCAGTCGAAGGCCTCTTTTGACCTTTGCACAAGCCTCTAAAAACGTAAGGATTTTGTTCTACTTGACATTTACAGTGGCAGAGAATAGAAAATAAATTATTGCCCGAGATCTGGCGATCTTTTCTGTTGCAACAACCGCGCTCTATGAAAACAGGTTTCAGGGACAAAAACCAGTCCCTTAGTACCGAGTGGGCAGGGAATCTGATTCCTGGGGTCGGTGGGTTGTGTGTGTGTGAGAGTGGAGGGGGGTGGGGGAGTAGGTCTGTGACTCAGCAGACAGGTGGTACGCAGTTGCACCGGTCGAGGACACAACCGCACCTGCAAGAAGCGGGGACACTGGGGTGTGCGCGGTTATGCTGATTTATTACTACCATTTCGTGGCTGTAGTGAAGTAAAAACACAAGAGAAAAGTGGGCCTCCAGGTCCAATGCTTCCGTTATTTTAAACAAGAAGAGCAACCAATCAGCACAGTCTGGCCGGTCAAGGTCACCCAGGGGCTTTTGACCGCTGCGCACGGAGCCTGTTTGGGTTGCATGATAGCGCGAAAATGAAACAAACCGGGAAACTGCTGCTAGGTTAAATGGGTTCGATTTGGGGGAAAATTGGTGACTCAACGAGCCCCTAACAAGTTGAAAACGACGAGGAATTTCCGGGTAACAATGTAACGTTGACGGATCAGATTTCAATGCCTTTTTGTCAGAGAGAATATGGTTGATAAGAGGAATGTCCTCGCTGAGTTCCTTCAGAAAATCAACAACCCGGTCACCATCAAAATCTGTGGCGCCGGAATACTGCAATAGCTCGTCTGGCTGTTTGGTGTTCCACGTCAATCGCTGTTTTGTACCAAACGGTGCTCGTCAAGAGATATGAATGCGTCGTGATGAATTTTGAAGAGAAATATTTGGCGTGATGCCATTGGCAAGTGTTCACGTCGCGCTCGAAAGCACTTTGTGGAGTAGAAGAGGCATAAATTCATGATGGTAATGATGATGAACGTTCACTAACTAACCAAACAAAATCTCCAAACGTAAATTCGGCTTTTTTGAAGGTTTTCTGTGCTCGAATCAAATCTAAAGCGGAACACGCGTACCACACTCCAAAAAGGGAAGGCGTTGATCACATTGCACGAGTTTCACTGAAAAGCCTCCACGCTGATTGGTTGGGATTCAACTTTGTCCCAACACTTGTTCACTAACTCTGCATACTTACAAGCACGGGGTTTTCAACCGGATCATCTAGTTGATTTTCTCACATGGCAACATTGTGGTAAATCAGGTCGAGGCTTATCAAAAGGGCCTAGAATCTGTCGTTTCATTTGAATTTAATATTTAACGCGGTTTTGCGGTAGATAGTAGGCCTGAAAATGAAGCACCACGATTGTGGTGACTGGCATGCGAACTCAAACAAGAACGGTGGGATGTTCAGGAGCGTTCCAGCTTACAAACGACAGGTATAGAAGGGGGAATTAATAGATCGCCCCAGTCCGTTCGAAATTCCAGGTAAATACATAATTGGACTGTTTTTACACATTGTAGAATACCTCAAATGGTGTATTTCATCAGGGTTGAAACAAGGGCCGCAACACATGGGCGTTAATAATCCAAAAAAAGTTAATTTTACCGGATCATCTGCGAAACAGGGCTATCGACCCCTCTAAGGAGCCACTTCTACAAGCATACTTATTGCGGTCAAGAGATGTGTGTGTGGTGGTGGTGGTGGTGGTAAAATGACGCAATAATGGCTTAGTGACCTGCCCGTAAATATTTCACTTTATTACTCAGTCCCTTCGTCGTCGTAGTGAAGTTTATAGCCCCGGTGAAAGGCAGGGCATGAGGGCGAGCGGGCGGGCGGGCGGGGAAGGGGTTGGGGTGTGCGCGGCAGGGCAAACTCTCCACTTAGGGGTAAATCTCCTTTCGACGCAAGTGCGACGGCAACAATTCACACACACACACAACCAATTTCAGCACTCGCACTGTCAAAAACCGTGGCGTTGAGGCGGCAATTATAAAGAACTGCGCCCGTTTGTAGGTTGAAACATCAAAAACGAACCAAGTGCTTCAGATCAGACAGGCTGTGTTTAAATAAAGTGATGCAGTAGTTTTGGTAATTCCAGCCAATCGCAGATAAACCCCGGCGCTTGCTTTAAGCCAGTTCTGTCGGATGAATTGTCCCAAAGCGTAGGTGAATGCTGCTTCTCTGAGGCCAGAAACGAATCCTTCTCAGCCGAAAAGAACCCTTGCTTTATTGATTATCGTGCTGCTTTTAAGGGTACAGGAAATGTGCATTCAATGGCAACTTTGATCTGAATCTCACAATAGCACTCTCGAATTTCACACTAAAGAGTGGTAGATGTCGCAGCATAAACGAAGGGTGGTTTTCGGTTTCAATGAAGCTCCTAGTTTCAAGTCGCTGTGAAATATTTGGAAATCAAATTCAGTTATGGCGCCCAGTCATTGAAACACCTGATCTGATGGCAGAACTCGATTGATTTAAACAAAATACACACGGATAACTGAGACTAGAGACAAGGAGGAGCCGTTTCGAAGGTCATGTAAGACCATCGAGGGGCAAATCTTTAAAAGGGTCACAAGGGCACTTTTCCAGGTGTAATCTCAAATACAAGGAAGCTTGGAGATTTCGCGGAAACACAGATCGTTTACAGCAAAAACACAAATTGAGGCTTGGGTGGCAGATGTACCAATTTGGTGATGTGAGAGGAATGAAGGGGGGACTCGCTTTGATGTACAACTTGACCATAATCACCAACCAATCACAACTCACAAAGATAGTAATTGGAGAGTTTGTGCGTATCCCCTCAACGACACATCGCCAAACACAAGACGTCAGGCAGTGAATTTCGTATTAAGAATGCCAGAATGGGCCATTTCGACCGTTTTTCATTCAAAAGACCGCGGCAAACCCTCCCTCATTGATTCGCGCTAATAGTCGCCTTTGCATGGCATTACTTTGAGCAACCTAGATCGTTCCTTCTAGTTTCCATTGCACAAAACTCGCCGTTAGGTTGGTGGAAAATGGGAAGGCTTCGCTTTTGAAGTCGGTGGTGGGTTGGAAAAACGATGATGAATGGCCCAGCTCCAAGCTGAGCGAAGTGCAAATGACGCTTTAAAAACATTGGATGGCTTTGGAAGTACAAAGGATGGGTGTGCAAAAGAAACTGGTCCACCTTTTGCGTGCAAGTGCCATAAAATTTCTCTATACTATAAGCACAAGAGATTGCCACAGAGGTCAAAAGGGAAACCCAAAGGACGCAAGAAGGTTTGATGGAAAAAGTTTGTTAAAAAGCACCTTCAAATAGTTGAATTTGAGCCGAATTCTGTACCTGTGACAAAACCGCTAGTGACTTGATCACTATTCGCCCAAAAGTGGCAGTGTTGAATGGCGCGATCTTGAAATTACGTGCGCGCCCAAACCAAGTTAGCGAATCCGGTACAGTGTACGTCATCAAAATATTCATAGATGGGAATAAATTGTACTTTTAAGTATGTCATGTGGTTAATAGCGGAAATCCTAATTTTAATCATGTGTCGTGGCGCAGCCAACTACCGACGCTGTTTTATTTGAAACATCACAAACCAACTACGAACGGGAGAGTGGGCTAATCTTAAAGGCGCATAGTTTTTGACCAATGAGAGAGGGGAGAGCAGGAAAATCACCTTGACTGCTGGTGGTGGGCGAAGACGGTCCGGTCTGGGAGTTCCACATGCTGCACGAGACCTTCTGGACGGGTCTTGAGGCGGACGACTGGGCGAAATTGTGAGGATGCGGGGGGTTGACGTGTCGCATTGCCGCGGGCGGCGGATCGATGGTGGAGCCACCGAGGGTGTGTCTGCGGCCAGCCGACGTGGCATTCTCAACGCACGGACTGCTCTGAACACTGCCTTTGCCCAAACAGTTGAACATCGTCTGTTGTTGACTGGAGGTGAGGCTGTCCACTGCAAGCCCAGTTGGCTAAACACGACAAAAGACATTAATTATAGAAGCATTCGCCGACTTGGGTGTCAATTTTTGCAGCTTCAAAACCACCTCACTTGAAAATTGATCAAATGTTATGACTGTCGCCGATCTCAAAAGAATAGAACGTGATCTAAAATCAACCCGGTTTAATTCAAATTTAATTCAAGTATTTAAGAGCCCCTTGGTCCGACTGACTGTAAATAGAGGAGGTTAAAAAACAAGCACAATTTTGATTATTTGCGAGATCAAGCACCACCTATGAAAAACGTTGGATTCCAATGAAGTCATTTGGCCGATATTTGGCGGACCTCACAAAGGATGAATGTGTGAATCCGGCGTTAGTTAGGACTGCCGACATTCAATGTCAGCACTTGTGGATATTTGCTAATTCGCTTATTATTTTAACTAATATGAACGCCTTTTTGCATGCGATTTGGGAGTTCAACTACACTAAATTTCTCTAGACCGAAATCACCTGAACACCTGGAATCTTGATGGCAAATTGACAAGGGACCTACTGATGAAACCACATAGGTCAAGACAACGAAAGAACTCCTACTCTCCATTATTCACTGATAAAATTCAAGTTTTTGAATCAAATAATCTCCAAACTTGCGGCTGCTCGTGTTAACACGCGGATGCCGAAATCCCGTCGGTCAAAAGACGCGAAAATCACAGCAATGCAGCACTGCCGGATAAGAAGCCGTTTTATGATTGTGGTGGTAAACATGGCTTTGCATAGAGGCTTCTGGCCATTAAATTATTTTGCCACCAGAACGGTTATTAATCAAAACCAGTAGCAGAGAAACCCCATGAGAGAAGGCAATAATATAGGCAAATGTTGATTGGATTTCATGACACAAACCACGGGCTAAAGATGAACCTAATTGGACAATCGACACTAGTCATTGCGCGCCATTAATTCTGCTTTAAAGTACGATGCTAGCATCAATTTATTGATTACTAGACCGGAGTGTGCGAAATTGCACATCCAGGTTAACTCTGGCCAATCAGATTCAAAGGGTGTGTCAACCAATCAAATCGGCGCAGTTGAATTTAGTTCCCGAAAAAGAGAAGACGTTTGGACGTCGATTGTCATCAGATCGATAAACTCAACAAAACGATCCCCAGAGAAACGAGATAAATATTCGCCACCAAACCCATTAAAATCAATTTGATATACACGATTATGCATCAGTGGTGGCAGTCTTTAAAAAAAAACTGCCAACAAAAATTAAAGGCTTTATTGGTTGACTTTTTTATTGTGATTCACTAAAACCACCACGTCATTGACGCGCCATAAAAGGTCGTGATTTTTTTAATGGATCCACATCGTTTCCTCCGGCTTCAACCAATCAGAATTAAAAAAATCAGCCAATAAAAACACGTGTCTACTGTCGACAGGTCTCCTCAACGAAAAAATGACGATTTTGGCTATCTCCCGAAATTTTCTTTCACAACTTATCATTATTTGGATGGAAGTAGGTCATTTTCTCTAAAGAAAGATCATGAAGAAGGGAGTTAACGAATTGTCTGACTTGGAAACTTACCATTATAAGAACGCTGAGATTGTCTAAAGGTGCAGTAAGGTAGCTGAGAGAATCAACCAGACAAGGAACAACAACGGCCTTATGAAAAACAGAAGCCTCCTGAGTTAGAAAATGACGGAATAGGGCATTTTGAACGACCACAGAACAAGCCTCTGTGACACGTTGAAATGTCTGGAATATACCGACAAAGTACGCAGTGTCTGCTAGGAAGAGGGAGCCGATTCTGACAAAACGAAGTCTTCTCGTGGCAAATAAACTTCCAACTTGGCGGTCTTTTAAAGCAATTGCGGCTAAATCTCGGAGTTTTTGAGAATGTAATTACGACAATGCAGATTAGACAATTTTGACTTAGGGAAGTGGAGCGGTTAAACACTCCACGCACAAAATGAATCAATCATTGACCGCATTCCCTGATCTAATGGGGCTCAAAATTAGATAGGGCTGTCGAAACACCCGCCTTGTTACATTTACCATGCCATTCCTGACTACCTCTTGATCTAACTTCCGATTCGAGGTGTGATTCTACTTGGAATTTGCTCCAAGAACTCTATACCGGTGAGTTTCTACTCCACGCGTATGTTAGTAAATAATTTTTGTCCTTGTATGAGACGTGCACGTCTAGCAACTTTCCGAGCAGTCTTTGGTGTTATTGGTTGGCATGCACTTGGTAACGAAAAGTTAGTAAACACGTGTTATTTACACATATTCGTGAGACTATCACGTACTCTTCATCTACTCCCGCTTGAGTTCTAGCTAAATCAGATAACCCACAACTGTCAACTCCTAGCGTCACGTTGACGACTAATCGTCAAATCGCTTTCTTTTCTGACTGGTGCCTTAAATGCAGACGGACCACCGATCGCGCACAAGAATGCTACCAATCAGTGTCAACACGACTGTTTTGAAGTGTGATGGATATCGAGTTTAAAAGCCATCTGAATCTCAATGCTACCTCCTATCGTGGAAAGTGAGGCCCATGATCGAGTCCTTCCAACGTCCACAAAAGTGGAGAAGATCGTCAACATTAACATCCCACGATCAAGATTCACGAGAATGGTCCAAACACCTTCGACATGTTTTGGCGTAAACCGGGATCGTGAGACGAGTGTCCGTGTGGGGGATTGTACGCACGATTGCACGCAGACCCAGATGTTCACGCTGACTCAGCCAAGAGGGTCGTCCATACAATGAGTCACCACCATGAAGAGGCACGACTCCATGAGCCCAGACACCGTCCTGTGTCGCCTATACGATGATACCGGGTTCGTGTGAAAAAAATATGTAGGCTTCGTGGCGTGGTTGCAATTACGGACAGTTGTCCAAAAGCAGGGCTTCACTGGGCCAGTGCAGATATAAATACATATATTACTGTTGCTCATTGCCACCTTGGGAAACACAAATATGTAGGCATGGTGGGCTACGCCTATAGTGATTTTTGCAATCAGCAATAACTAGGTTGGGGAAATTACCAAGGATTATTAGTCCCCCAAAAAACAGGTTGTTGAGTATGGTCTCGGAGCAACTCGATGCCTGATAAATTCGATTACTCGACCTGGTGGATTCGACCTGTAATAAAAGCGCATTGAACCTCATGAAACAAATCAACTTAATATTGAATGACCCTATCTTACACACACTTTTGCACACCTGAAGTGAATGAAGGCTGACAGAAACTCACAAAAATGTGAAAGAAGTTCGAAGAGGGCACCAGCAAGTCACGCTTGGACAACCCAGCAAAGCAGAAAGCACTAAGATCTCATTACGGAAGGAGACAACGCAGCAACTAACTGTGGTATAACTTAGTACGAAGCAGGCAAAACCTATTGATTTAAATAAACAAATGCAGTGCGTACCGGTTCTACAGTGGACCTAGATTTCCGACAGGGGAATGGCGAATTACTATCGGCGGTGGCTGTGGTGATGTTGGTGGCGCTGAGGTGGGAACAGATCCGAGGCGGTACCGCAGGACTAATTCCACTTCTCTGTTTTCCACTACCTCGTGGTGCTGAGCATAGATCCATTTTTATTAAAGTACCGAGGGGAAAAGACTACACACGCCTTCACGAATGGACCTCGTCACCTGCCTGCCCAGGGGTTAAGCTCTGACACTCGACTTCCAGGTTGGTGGATCGGTTTATCCAATCACGAGCGTCGGCCGTGCTGATTGGCCGACCGGAATTAGAGGCAGGTGCACGCGCGTACACTTGAATCGCGCGCCCTCGCACTCGGCCATAGGCTATTTACTGGCGACCTTCCGGCGATGTGTATTTGACCGAACTCAAGGTCTGGTTGCTTCTCAAAAGTGCACTCGACTGTGGCGACAAGTGAGGCTGTTAAGGGGACTACAGGGTTGAACTGTTTCGATGGCAAGCACACTCGTTGCTCACGGTGTGTGTACTTATTTGGCAAGAAATTGGGTGGCTCCCGAGTTGCGTCGAATATCTGGTACACCATGATGCGGTTATGGCAAAAACCACCATGAATCCGAGCAATACGACCATCTGGATTACATCAAACTTGGCAAACGGTAGGCTACCTCGGGTGTGGCATGCACAGCAGGCACAAATTAGGCCGTGTCGTCGACGCACAGCCGCGTAAACAAACGCTAAGAAAAACACTACGCGTTTTTTCCCACTCCGTTTCTTTTTCTTTTTTAAACATAGTGTCGCAAGAAGGCACTACAAAGACTGCCCGCCCATAGCCGTTGGCAGAAAGAGCATCCAAGCACGCCCGACTTTGCCCCAGTTTGTGGGTAACCTTGGTGATGAATGGGAACACGTGTGCGAGGTCAGACGAGGGAAGACGTAACGGGTGGCAGATTCGCCTCAGTGACCGCCTTTTGTCACTGCATTTTATAATTCACGATAATTCATGCAGAAAGTGCCCCGTGCAAGAAGAGATTCGGGCACATTAAATAGTGAATGCCGTATTACTTGTACAAGGACAGATAGAAATTAGCCTGTCGGTGCTCATTGCATTACCGATGTAAGTTTCAACACATCACCTGCATTAAAATCCGAGCGATTGCATCACATTCAGTCTCTAAAGACACGATAATTGCAATTCTAAGGTAATAGGATAAATTGGCGCCGTGGTGAGTTCGTGCGCAATCGATTTTTGATAACTCAATTTAAATCGCCCAATGCGTCTTTACGTAGTCGAAACGCTTGGTGTGACGTTTTCTAGTGCGACAAAGATTTCCCACCACCTCATAAATGTTACATAAAATTTCATTTACATGTCTCCAAGAGGGAACATTGACCGTGTTTGTAAACACGCCATAGAGCGGAAATAGCGTTGGCTCGTAGTTTGTATCGGTTTTTCGTGTTCTGAGTGCATTTTTGCAAATCACAAAGCCAACTTCAACAATTGCTGTATTAGGTCATACATATTTATTCCTCAACACGTCCATAAATTGGTAATCTAGAAGGCCAGGCTTGGCTCCCAGGCTTGAAGTCAATTTTTCGGAGTTACACACTAACTCCACACAACTTCGGACGACAACCAATCAGAGTGCAGATGCTGCTGTCAATTAACCACTCACAGAGCCTAAGACAGACAACCTTTGGCGCTACCAGATGGATGCATTTTTGGTGTGTGAATCGATCACCAATACGAGTGTACGTGCCTGGATTTACCAAACTACGAACTGCGGCTGTTCAAAGCTAGCTATCGGGTCCCGAACGCGTGTGATTATGCAATTCACTGCATTACGGCCAAACGAACGGTTAGAGCATGAAAATGAAGCCGCCTTAGCAACGAAGAGAAGCGATGAAGGAAGAGAAACAGAAATAGTAACAGAAAAGACACGGTGATTGTTTTTTTCCTAGAAAGACGCAATTCGCCAAATTCTGGGACGGCACCCAATTATTTGAAGACAGCGAGGTGGTTTGATGCTGAGGTATTCTCAAAAGTCAAAGTTGTCATGTCTCACAATCGGGCGATGGGTTAAAAGTACGCGTTCGCCTGTCGAAGTCAACCAACTGCACAACGACGACGATTTTGGCCGACCGGGATTCAACGGAACAACTGAACCTCCGTTTCGATATTCTTAACACCCCAATTGAAGTCTAGCGGCTTCTGGTGAACTCCAATCGAGCCCGTTGAGATGGTGTGATATCACCACTCGAACAGTTGCCATCCTGTTCTTGCGGAACCTGCTTCACCCACCACCGACCCAAAGTCCTTGTTCGTGACCCCCGAGTCCATGTCGAGTCCATTCAAGATCATTTACGAATGCTCTTACCAGGCGTGATCGAATGTCAAGCTTTCATATTTAAACTGACACCCTATCACGCTAAAGAATCGCGCTTAAATTGCAGCAACAAATAGATTGAGCCCTCGCGGGCTCGTGTCTACAGAATCCAACGTTTATTAATTCCTCGAAAACCAACTAACACACACGGCACTGTGCACCGTGCAGCGAAAAAGGGCGTCCGGAAAATTGCGACTGTTCACCACCTGGTGAAGTCGGGTGAAGCCACCCAGATATGGGAGAGAGGTAATTTGGCGAATTACAAGGGAAAGTGCAGCACGCTTCCATCTGGCGAAGTGAATAGTGCGCAGTGGCTCAGGGCCCCAATGTGGACCATCATCCGTGGACGTTCCCACACCGTGGCACACATTCTCACCAGTAGAACTTGGAAAGCATTAACTCCTTCGCATCAACCTTCAACTACTCTGTTGATAACTAACTCATTGCGGTAAGCAATTGGTTCCAATTTCGCTTAATTTCTGGGCACTAAAGTGGCATATTCCCCAGACCAATCTTCAACAGATTTCCATCATACCTAATCACAATCTAACAACTGACGCAGAATGAAGTTCTGGGTCCAAACCTAGCTATTTCTATTGCAGAAGTGCTAAAAACTTGTCAACCGTATAAAAATAAACAGGATAAAACAACGAAAAAACATTACTGATCAAATTGTGTCATGTTATCGGCGAATTCAGCGCTTAAGTGTTGCTTCAAATGTCTGTAAACATCGCTTGAGGCACTACAGCCCACTCGAAACCCGAAACGGTCAAAAGATTGGCTTTGGCTTCGAGAGGAGTCCCGGTTTTTACATCGACAGCCAATAAGTTAATCGAGCAGACGTTAAAAAGATGCCGCGAATGCGTTTCGCTCTCTCTCTCTCTCTCCCTCCCTTTCGTACTTTGGAAAGTGACTAAGCTGTGGAGACGCCTTATATCGCAAAGAAATGAATAATTTAGGAGATTTCTCAATGGTTAAAAGTGCCTCTGTCGGGATAAAATTGGAGGAACTAACTAGTGAAAGTGTAAAGGCAGGACAAAAATCTGACTAGAGAATATCGGCGGGCACAATTATTGCACCTAGCAGTCAGTGGTCAGCACCCTTGATGGTCGATTACTTGTCTGCAAGTAACATCTCATGGCTGGTGGCTCACTGACTGCGTCTCCTTCTTTTCCCATTGCCATGGCAACCGTAAAACTTCGACGAAATCAAACTTAGAACCGAAAACCTGGTTCACATGACGTAGTGCTGGCAAATAGAAGGATACACCTGCGGTTGCTGCAGGAACCACAAGTACAGCAAGTTCGGGAAAGGCACTCGAGTGAATCGGCACACTGTGTTCCCGTCTGAGTCACGCACAGACGGTTGCATTGTCGTCTCGTTTTTTCTCGCTTAATTTACAACGGAAATAGAGGAGGAAGAGGAGGCAGAGGCGGATTGAAAATTGCCAAGGTTAAAAGACTCCAAGAGCGTTTTTATCTCGCGCGCACTTTGACTCATGTCGGGACGGAGTTAGTCAGCACCGCGTTGTTTCCTTTTTTGTGCATTTTCTTTCTTGTTTCCGCTTCTCTTTTGTTGGGGAACGAACAATGGTCCAAACCAGGAAGTCAGAACCCTCTCAACTGCAGGCGTGGAAGTAGTTTTTACTTCCAGAAAATCGCCCAGGCCGTCGTGTGGATGCGAATCGGGTGGTCACAAGATGGAAACGAGTCGTGGTGATTTTAGTGGTTGGGACGTGGGGCAATTATGATTGTAATTTACCATTAGAAGTCGGTGGCCTCATTTATTCCGATCGATAATGGGAAGCCGCCTACCCCCGTCCTTAGTCTGTCCCCATTCACGATCAGAGAGGGGCGGTATTTACGACCGGTATAAATCACATTGTCATCAACAATTTAGGGCGAAAATGGTACAAAATTAGTTTCCCCTTCAAACAGACAGACTTCCTGTTTGGTATTAGCAACGACAAAATTGGACAACTCCAGACGACCGAATACCTGGACTTGTATGTTTTTACGACCAGATAAAACGTGGAAAGTCGGGGGCAGATCGCGGGCAACTGAGTACATAGATGCCTAAACAGGACATCCACTTAAGGAAGGTTATCCTGTGCATACAGCTGGACATGGAGGATGCATTTTATTACTAACTCTTTGAAACTGATTGTCAGACGGTGCCTGAGCAAAGCTACAGCCGACAAGTGAACAAACGGAGCGAGGAACTTGACAAAGATGCCATTTACTGGGCAAGGAAGCAGGCAAGTCATACTGCTGTTGTATGACACCACCCTATCACCTCACGTTGCTCGCTCGACTCATTAGACCTTCTAGAACTTGGGATAGGAAGGTCATCCACACGCGGCATATTCACCAGACTTGGTCTCCCTTCCGACAACCAATGTCAATGCAGCAGCACGCCTTAGTGGATAAATAGCTCAAAACACTAGATGTGTCTCGAAATTTACCATTCACAGACAAAGTACTGACCGCATTGTGGGCACTGAGTTGATTTCTACTTAATCACGTCATCGACGATGTTGCACTTCGTCCAGATTCATGACGACTCGAAAGTGGCACAGATTCGTCCCGTCCCACCGCAAGGCGTGTTGAACGTCGAATTTGCTTCGGCACACCTCCTGAGTGTGTGAGTTACAATTTGCTGCAGCGGTTTCAGGTGGTCTAACACAACTGGCCGCAACCAACGCTCCCCTCATCCACCTGCCCAATCGAACCGAAATGCACGTACTGACCTTGTTTGGCGTATGTCTCTGTTTCGTGCTTTTAGCCTCAAATTCAAACTCGGCACATCAGGTCAGCTGACTGTGTCACACAAGTGGATTTGTAGGTAACCCACCGACCACCTTTTTATCGCAAGTCAAATAATATAAGCGTGATGAAACCTAGGAAGGAACTAAGCAGGATTTGTGCTTGGCACTACTTCCGTGTTTAATCCACCATTTGAGTTTGCCGCAATTAAACAGATAAGTTGCATTACAACACCGGCGATCATCATCATTGGCATTGTGAAAAAATGCACCAAACGGAGAAGTTAGCTATCGTTCTACTTACCATGTTCTTTCAACACAAGGCCTTGTTTTACTATTGGGGTTTCGTTGAGATATTATTTGAACTCCCATACGTTTGCGACACACTTATTGCAGGCTCTGTTTGTTGTCGTAATAGTTATTTTTAGGATAACACGTACACGTTGTTGAAGGTTCCAGATGGTCATTTGATGTTTTCCTACTCGACACTCCAGGAGCCTCCATTGCGAAGTTCAAATGGTGTTCCTTCGAAACCAGTAAACTTAAACAAAGGGTTATACTGGAGTAATTCGGCAAATTTTACAAATATTTCAGCAAGACAAGTTAGGGTACGGAATAATAATCTCTCGAGCCAGCTGAAAGTCGAGCTGCCTTCTACAAATGTGACTGTATTCGCTGTGTGAAAGGTCATCTGTGCTGTGCCTTAATTAATCCAAAAACAGTAAATAATGCAAAGGGAAATGGGGTGCGTTTTTCAAATGAGTGAATAAATTAGTTTGTTTGGAATTTAAACGATTTGTTGGCCTTGCATGCATTCGCGAGAATATCATTGGCTGCCTTATTTGTTTTAATAAAGAGAAGTCGACCATTCACATTCGAACACCAACTGTTAAGGCCTGACCTTCCACGAAGTGGCAATCGATATGCGCTAGGGTCGATAAACTTTTAAGCAAAAAAGGCCTTTCTGACAATGTGACGCTGTTTAGACCAATCGCGCACGTTTGGGAGTGGCGGCTAGTTAAAGTAAATATTGCACACACACACGTCCACGTTGTTCGAGGAGATGAGTTGGAAGGCAGGGGTTGCCGGTTCGGCGAATTCCCAGATTGTTGCGTGGGATGCAGCGGCTAGGTAAATGTCCTGACGTTTGTCCCTTACCAGTTCTACACACCAAAGTGGCGGACCACGGCGAGGTGACTAAACCCAAGTCATTAGGGTTGCATCCAATGGATTGTTTATGCAAGACGCGAACGTCTAAGGAGCCTAATCATCTCACATAATCACCCCAGAAGACTAACGGCCAATCGTGACGTCTGTGCTACCGGCCCTCGCGCTCTGGCAGCCCATGCCACGAGTGTAGTTGCGTCTAATCTAACGGTTTTCTCGCATATTCTGGAACATTAACTAAATGCAGCCTTCAGAGTTTCTAGCTTACCTCAAAAAAACCGAAGTTGATAGGCCATAATTTCGCCTATAAATTTCGCACACAACAGAAAAGAATCCAGCTCAGCGCACCCAAAACGTCTATTTGACCGGGAAAATGCAAAAGAGGGGGTATAGATGCGTTGGAGTAGTTCGACAGTTAAAATAGCCTTAAAGGCACGCTAGTGTGGGCTTCTGGCGTCATTTTGGAGCGTACGTTTTACGACCCCCAATAAAACTTACAACTTTAAAAAAACACACATTGTCCCGTCTCAGGGGTGTCACAAGCCCTACCAGGTCATAAAAGCCGAAGTTGGGAAGGCAATTCCTAAAGTTTGGGAGAAATCAGCAGAATTTGCCGGTGTAACCAGCTAATGAGGGTTGAAACGGTCGGTTGCCTTCGTGCTAACCAGTACTTGAGTCACGAGCGAAGCGAAGTAAACTTCCAGGCACATAGTAGGGTTACGGGTTTGATCAAAATGAAATCATGACTCGTAAGTCCTTTGAACTAAATAAATTCCCCCGTGTGATGCGGAATTCATTCAAACAATAGCGCACTCATCAAAGCCAACTAGGAAATTGATTTTTTTTGGAAAATGCCTGCCTTATATGTACTATTGACATTTTAAACTTGGAGCGGAGAATTTAATAATAACAAAAGGTTGAGGAAGGAAGAGAAACTTACTGTCTTGGGACCAGGACAGGCAATGGTGACGGCAATGAGGGTAATGAACTTCAACCACACGCGCACACACACACACATACACTTGCACGCGTGCACATACGCACGCACGTGCGCGCGCAAAGGGCTGGCGCCCATGAGGTGCGCTGACACCTGGGATGACTCATCAACGTGCGCGTCGTTCATTGGCTCTGCCCAACACTAACCGCCATCCCTCTGCCGCCCAATGAAATTTGGGAGGGGGGCACTGTTGGACTCCTTTAACGTGTCCGGAAGCACAAAAAGGCCAGAAGTCAAGGCGATGGTGCCGTAATGGTGGCGAATTGGTGATGCTCAGGTGCTCAAATGACGTCTTAAACCACATAACACACAACAATATCGAGTGGTGCGTATCGATGATGACGTGGCGGCGTCGAATGTGTATTGAACCTGAGCCTACTAAAAACTCTCTAAGTAATGCGTTTAGTTTTTTTTATTAAACGGAGTGGCATCTTAGGCGGTGAATTAAAGCAGCAAGTTGAACCAATAACACATTTACGCAATACAACAAAAATGGCTTGAAGTATCCAACTAGAGCCCAATCAAATTTGAGTGTTTTCTGACCCAGCGGTGAACAGAGATCACGATTACGCACCAGGTAGTCGGTCAAGGTCATCCAAGGAGCGTGAGCGTTGGCTCCGATTCCCCAAGTCGAAATATATTAGTAGTACACAATCATTGGGCGTGTTCAAGTAGCTGAAGTCAATTTCATGCATATCCCGCCAAATATATCGGATCTTGATGGTTTTTTTGAATGAGCTCTCGCGGCCAAAGCATTTAGTATCATTTGAGGCTTTGCAATTACTTCAGGTAAATAACGTTTCTTAGGAAATCATCGAACATAACAACCAAGGAATCTGGCGGCGCAACACGGCAACTTCATTAAAACAACTCCATTCTTAGCTTTCCACCTCTCCGTAATCAAAATAAATCACCTTCCTGCGGCTTGGAATTATTTGATTTGCATAATGGAAGGCTGGATTCTTGGGTTAAGTCATCACTTTTTTTAGGCCACGCTGTGAGTTTTTGATTCGTCTAAGTCAGCTGTCTAAGCACTTACACCGTAAAATGCACACAAAGTCACCTGCGATGTCGTTTGTTGATTCAGTTTGAAATCGATAATTTATTGATTTTTTCCCCAAGGCTACTTTTATTCGAAGCGTAGCACTTTGTTCAAATTTGTGGGGTCGATTATTTGGGGAGGCGCCAGCGTCTTCTTTTTTCTGACTTCTGAGGGAATTATTGAACAATTTCAGAGTAAATTGACGAGTTAAAATTGCGTTTAAACAAAAATTCGGTTCCACTAGGACGAAGAATGACTCATTCAGATGATTGGAATGAGGTGCTTTGCTCTGTGTGAGCAAACGTGGGACTTAGATGAGGCAAATTGGGCGACGCCTTAAAATATTACCCCATTCAACATTTTTCAACAGGGAGTGCAGCGAGATAGAGCAAGACGATATCTGATTTACTATTTGTTATTAGAATGATATCAAGCATATCGATAACAACAGACCATGTCTAAACTCAGTCAACTGAGTCTGAAAGTTAAATAAGGGCGTTTTCACGGACGGCAAACCGTTGAAGTCCTATTTGTGCATATTGTTTAATATAAAATATCTACTTTCAACGTTATAGTAGCAAAGATAAAATACATACCCTTCGTGTCAATGGAAAAGGTGAATACGGTTGAAATGTCATGGCGGAACTGCCTAAACGCGTGGAGGCAGTGCGTCTGGCGGGGAATATCGGTGGGAGACTGTTCCTATCCGACACTCTACTTGCTGTCTTCTGTCGCATGGTGACCGTCTCATTGAACGGAGCTGCCGCTTGTGGTCTGTGGTGGGGGGTGGGGTAGAAAAACGAAAAACTCGGTGTGAAAATCGCACAAATTATTGAAATTTCAAGCAATTTTTTTCAAATAGTGCAGGACATGTGAGCGTATTTACCAGCTTCACTTTAAATTACAAGAACAGAATCCAACTGTTCGTGTAGCGTTTAATAGAAAATCTTGGCCTGAGGTCAGATTGAGGTCAGGCTAGGTCAGTTATCCACGACACGGCTTAACACGTCTAAGGCGCCATACGGGCCGGATTAAGTGAGGACACATTGTACGCATGCAGCAGCTTACTTGTGCAAAAATTCAAGGACATTTTGCACTATAGATGTGGACAGGTACACGTGTTCGATTAGTATTGCAGTGGAGTGTTCTGTTCGTTAGCATCATTGGCCTCCTCCTTGAGCTCAAATCCAATCGATCAGCTTTGAGGGAACACCACGTCGCGATGTCAAGTTTTCCTGCATAAGATGACGCCTTAGAAGGCTATAGACACACGCCTGACAATCACGACCTTACTGCAACAATGAATCAGCTGAACTCCACGTTGCCCGTGGCCACCTGCTTAATCAATTGGGACTTGTCAACGTGGGTCCCTTGACCGCGGTGAGGTTATCGAACCCCGACGTCTAGTCAGTGATTTGGCCACCAGAATGACGTCAAACATGACGGGAAAGTGCATGAGTTTGTTGTGGGCCCCAGCATGTGGTCTTGAACGACACCGGGTCCACGGAATTAACCCTGGTCCGATTGCGTTTCCCAGATACCCGCGATCTAGAAAACGATCCGAGAGGACGTGGACACAACCGTTTACTTCAGAGCTCAACCACGTTGGTGTCGTTGTGTCGATGTGTGGAGTTTGCGCGTGTGTATTTATACCACGGATGTGTGAGTCATACATGCTCTAACATCGAAACCCAGGAGTGAGGATAATCCAATTATCCGTGTGAATGAGGGGGGAGTTGAGGATCCGCGCGACTGGCGACATGCAGCGAAAAGGGGCACCCTGTGTCGGAGGTGGAGCGACCGGGTTAAGGGGTGTCGATAAACACGATTCACAACAAGTTGTTTAAGGTTTGGAGCCAAAATGCCATTCTCACGGGTGAATGGGTGCGGAGACACGAAAGGTTTTCTCGTTTCACTTTTTAATCTCCCAAAATGATCAATAATTTTAGTGGTACATCAGGTACACAAGGGAAGAGAGACAACAGCATGAGGCAAACCACGGAACGAATGGCGTCGGAGGGAGTAGACAGTATGAGATCAAACAAACTTTTGGACAGATGGGTGAACCGGGTAGAATCATTGCAACCAAAATTGCAAACTAAAATGCAAGGAGCCAAGTCGGAAACATGGCGAATTTCCAGCGAGGTCAATTAAAGGTCGGATATTCGCAGGTTAGTTGTACATCTTGGGCT